TGGTCTGCGCCAACACGATGAAACTGGCCAGCGTGCTGTGCGGGACCACTGATTGAGGTTGACTGCGGGACCACCGATTGAGGTCGACTGCCGTGCCAAGTGGAAGGTTGTGTTGTACAACCTGGTGTTTTGGCAGAACGGTTAGAAAGATCAAAGGGGGCACCGTAGGTAAGAGATAATTGATAGATAGGTAGGCATGTGTACCGGAAAGAAAAGAAAAGAAAGAGATGCACCTTGCCCACAACAGAAGAAACATCTGAACGAAAGAGCAAGACAACAAACAAACAAGAGGAGGAGGAGTAGAAGAGAGACAGAGGAGGAAGAAGAAGGAAGCGAGCGTACGGAAGGGAGGAGACAGACAGAGAAAGAGAGCAAGAGCATCGTCGGTTCATTTTTTTTTTTTCTTCTTGTTTTTGAAGCCGAGGTAAGCGTGTCTCGGGCGGAAGCTAGACATGGGTAGCGTGTTCTAGGCTGAAGCAGGGCATGGGAAGGCCAATGATGGAAAAAAAAAAAATAGGGTCAAGGTAAGCGTGTCTCTGGCTGCTGAACAGCAGGGCACGGAACGACCGGTTAAGCCGAGGTAAGCATGTTGTTGGCGAGAGCGAGACATGGAAAGGCCAGAAGGTCGAGGAAGCATGTTCTAGGCTTGAGCAGGGCATGGAAAGGCTGAATAATGCGAAGGGTGTGGTCAAGGTAAGCGTGTATCTGGCCAAAGGGCAGGACATGGAACGACCGGTAAGCCGAGGTAAGCGTGCTCGGGCAAAAAGCGAAGGCTTGAGCAGAGCATGGAAAGGCATGGAGGTTTGTGGGGAGGTTTGTGTCCAAGCTGGGCGACCAGCCGAATGTCGTCAGCCTGGTTCTTATTACTTAAGGAAGCGTGCGGATTCCTTAGTAGGCAAAGGGCCGGGAACGAGGGAGAGAGTTCTACCTCCAAGACCCGGCCTTTGCGCGGTGACACAATAATAAAAATGGCATTTTTCGGGAAGTGAGAGACAAAACGGTCGTGCCAGCGGTGTCCGACCTATGACAATATAATGTACGATGGCATGCAGCAATCACCCAGGCTGTGGTGTGCTGCCCGAGCATGAGCATGACCAAACGGTCCCGTTGTGCGACACATGCCTTGGTATACTATGTCCGCCTGCGCCATGGTCCGCTGGTGGTCAGCGAGGTCGCTGGTCGGCTGTAGAACGAAACGCTTACCCCGTTGGATCTATCCGATCCGTGGTTCCGTCCACCCCTCTATCTCTGCTGTTGCTGTGTCGATGAGTGCATGTTGTTTGAGACCACCACCACACTGG